GGGAGTGAAACCAACCAAGGGGTCTCCTACCAACTCTCCTCAGACTGAAGAAGCTACTTGGATGAGCAGTGAAAGAAGTCTAGTTGCCATGGCTCAACTTCCAGGCCATTGGGTTTACTTCCTACTTGCTTGGTTCAGTATCAAATAACTGTTCCACTACGGAGAAATGTAGGGTTAATAATGTGTTTTACTACTGTATAATCCCAGTCTGTTACTTAGGGAGAGATTACTGTAAATTAATAGGCAGCAAATGTATTTATTTTTTAAATATAGGACTTCCACTGTAGTAAAAATGCTGTGTTTGCTTCCATTTGAAAGCTATTTTGGAGCTAAATGTGTGACTACAATAGATAACAACACGCTATAATCTGTATTCTCAGCTGTGATGAAAACTACTTTTTAAACAGCTGGCTTTTGAATCTTCTCACTTATAACTACCTTCAGGTTCTTCAAAAAGGTGCTATCATAAGGGGTTTTCTGTATGATGCTTCTTAAGATTAAACTAAGTGGCCAAATAGCCAATTAAACGGAGATGAAGGAAAGCATAGCCATTTCTGTTTGAGCTGTAACTATTCACAAACATTCAGAAGTAGTCACATCCAACAAAGGGTTGTTAGCTTAGCTGTCCACACTACACCTTGAAAGTAATTGGCAAACCTCATTTTTGTAAAGATTGCCTGCCTGGTTTCCTGGCAAAGATGTTTGCTTGCCACAGAAAACCAGGTGGATCTGTAAGTTTACGTCACAACTTTCTGGAAGAAAGTGCAATGAAACATGCAAGTAAAATGCATAAATGCTTGGACAGAACTGTGGCAATGAGGGAGTGAGGCCAAAGAGATTGTGGCAATGTATGGTATATGAAGAAGATCCTGCTCAGTACTAGGTATTTGTGATCTATGCATTGAGCCAAGTAGATAAAAGGCAAATTTCAGCATCACGTGGTTATAAGCAATAAAGTTCCTCTTGGATGGATGAATGCTGGCCTATTCTCATGAGTCATGGCGTGGCCTGCTTCACTTTAGCTATGGAGCTGATCTGATTTTTGGCTCACTCCTAAGAAACCTCCCCTAACGGTGCTGCCTCCATCATGAGAACCATGTGGTACTGGACTCAGGCTGGGCAAGAGATCGCAAGGAAGCTAGATCAGCAGTGACAACACGCTCTGCCTGAACCCAGTCAACGTCAGGTGGGGAGACGGCAGCCTAGGGATGTGACTGATCTGCATTAATAGTCTTCAGAAACAGAGAGGATGGCAAACTTGTTTTGTGTCGGAACTTTTAAATGCCACAACGGTGCAATAAACCGCATCAAGGCATGGTACTTTTAAAAAAAGGGTAAACCTGGGCACCTTGGAGAGAAGAGCATATTCAGTGGATGAAATAAACAGTTTAGTTAAGGTTTGTTTGTTTTGGTTCTTATACATCGGCTCTGATGTGAACTCCTCTAGAAGTTTCTTTTCTTTTCTAGAATATACACACTGATCGGTTTGTGAGGGGGTTCTAGCGCAACACATCCGGAGGGTTCCAGATTAGGAAAGGTGGCAGTTCATGTGCTTTGGCCCCAAAAGGCCCAGTTATCCAAAGGGCTGCAGTGGCTCAGGAAGATGAACGCCCGGACAGCCCGTGGTCTGAGACCCGTCCATCTACCGTCGTTCCCTATCCTCTGCATTAGGAAAAATGGAACACTGACTGTCTGACCTTGTTCGTTTTATCTTTATCCCATGGCATAAGAAACTCAGGCAAGAAGGGACTTCATCAGATGTGGAACTAAAAATTTAATAAGGAACACAGCGAGAGCATACAAAATCACAATAAAGCAGATCACTTCAGTAGTACCAGAGTGTGAATCAAAAAGCAGCTGCACAAACGTCAATCACAAAAAAGATCCTAACTGCAATGGCAATTTCTCAGTGATTGGCCTATTCCGTCATCTCTTCTCTCTCTCCCCCCCAAAAAATTACAGAACCCTAGAAGACAAAACAGAATGGAGAGAATGAAGTTTACTCACAACGCTTCAGTGGACAAGCTCTTTAATTGAGTAAAACCACGAACAAGCAACCCTATAATTGAGCAAATGCTATTTTACTGTTGCTGGCAACCGTTTAGGGCTCTTGCAACTGTGCATAATTGGAATTTAATGCAGTCAATTAACTCCTGTACCTCCTTTTCTGTGTCAAATTTAAGCGTAAACTAATGAATACCATAATCCTGTTTTGTTTTTGTTTTTTAAAAGCAAAACATGCTCTAACTGAAAACGTTTTATTGGTGCTGTAGCTTCCCGAATACCATAATCCTGTTTTGTTTTTGTTTGTTTTTTTAAAGCAAAACATGCTCTAGCTGAAAACGTTTTATTGGTGCTGTAGCTCTCCCCCCCCCCAGAAACATGCTACATCTGCAGAAAGATTATGCTATAATAAATGGGCTATATTTCAAAGTGCTCCAATACCCTTAGTTGTTCTGTGGCAATAGACCCATTTGGCTGTCCTGCTGGGAATTTTGTAATATGGGATAGAATGAAAAAGCAGCCAATAAATGTAGGTGTCGCCCTAAGAACTGCTGGATAGCTCAGTGGCTTAGGTTTCTGGTGGTGGAGTCAGAGGTTGGGGGGGTCAATTCCCCACTGGGTCTCCTTGAGAGGGGCTGGACCCGATGATCCATAAGGTCCCTTCCAGCTCAGCAGTTCTAAAGTTATTACATTCTCCTTTGTTTTCTGTATAAAAAGCTTCTTGCATCACACGGTGAATTTCATAGTCATACTAGTTACACATCACAAAGTACGATGCAGAAGTAAGTGTACTGCTGGTGCAAATCATCCTCACATTAGAACTGCAGAGCTGGAAGGGACCCCCAGGGATCATCAAGTCCAGCCCCTATCAAGGGAGGCAGAGTTGGGGAATCGAATTCCGTCTGGTTCTGCAACCAGAGAGACCTGAACCACTGAGCTATTTTTGCCAGCACCAGAGAGAATGCTTAAACAAGGCAGTGGACACCTCATGCCGATGATGCTCAAACACTGTCGTGGAGCTTGCCTGCTCCAACTTTACTTCGCTCACTGTCAACTACAGTTTTCAGACACAACTCACTGTGTGTTAAGGCAGAGGTCCCAACCCTCGGTCGTTTCAGACACAACTCACTGTGTGTTAAGGCAGAGGTCCCCAACCCTCGGTCGGTGACCTGAACTGGACCGGGGCGTGGAGACAGACCTCCCCCAACTCCTCCCCCCCGCACAGCCCTTTTGCGCCTGCACCCACGTGAGCGCTCCCCCACCCCTTTGCACATGTGCACAAGTGCCCAGAGCGCCGCACCACCCTTTGCGCATGCACACAGAACTCACTGTGTGTTAAGGCAGAGGTCCCCAACCCTCGGTCGGTGACCTGAACTGGACCGGGGCGTGGAGACAGACCTCCCCCAACTCCTCCCCCCCGCACAGCCCTTTTGCGCCTGCACCCACGTGAGCGCTCCCCCACCCCTTTGCACATGTGCACAAGTGCCCAGAGCGCCGCACCACCCTTTGCGCATGCACACAGGCAATGCGCTACCCTTTGCGCCTGCGCATGAGCGCACCTTCATGCATGTGCAGAGGCGGGGGGCCCCCCTTTCCCCGCCGGGCCGCGGGGCTAAAAAGGTTGGGGACTGCTGAGTTAAGGTAAAATCATTACAAAGATTTAGAGAAAATTCAGGTATGGATGTGTCATTTTTGGCTGCAGTGCAGCGTCATTCTTAGCATAACATTCTGCTCTTTAAAAGCTAGGAATGGGCATTAGTTTGGAGGCGCAGTGGAAAATCTGTTTGCAACCCCTCCAAGCCAGGTGATATAGACACTATTAAGCGTTCAGGTTCTCTACCAATAGTAGAGCTAGAAAATTCAGACTATATTCCATGCAACCTTAATTTTGGCCCTGTTCAAATGAATCAACAGATCCCAGATGACAGACAGAAAGAAAGATGGATAACTTTATTCTTATCAATAGGAGCCTAGTGGCACACTGCTGTACTGCACCCAAAACTGTTTACGACACAGGCTGAATCCCAGGTAGCTAGCCTGACGTTCATTCAGCTTTCCATCCTTCTGAGGCTGATAAACAGAGTACCCAGCTAGTTCACTGGGATAGAGGCAATGTGTCGTCTGCATACTTAAGATTGTAAACTACCAAGCGAGTGCTTTTAAGCATTACGGGGCAGGGTATATAAGCAGCACGCTTTTAATCCCATCTGTTTTCCTAGCACTAACAGGTTTACCCGTATTCTCACCCTGGATTGGTGCTTTCCAGTTACCACTGAAGGAAAACATCTGAGTTTCTTTCTTCCTTTTTCGCTTCGTTTTTCAAGTGCTTCGTGGGCCACTTAATCTTGATCGCCGGCTCCATCTGCTCCTGCAGGCGATGGCGTTTCATGTGAGCATTCCGGCTTTTTATCTTGTCAAACACTCTAGATGCAGACAGGAGATAACCGTCAAGAGATTTTCAGCACTTGTGAGTGACATACATAGAATCCCGAGTCAGGTAAAAAAAGCATATATTCTCCCTCCTCTCACACAATTTTTTTTTTAAAAAAGGTTAGGTTTCTCTAATGCACACAGAAAATGACAAACAGTCCAGATTCTCAGTGAGCCATCCCAAGGGAAGATGGAAAGAGCAATTTCTTTGTTAAGGATAAACTAGACCTGTCAAAGTGGAACAAGAAATCACTGTGATGAATAAACTGCTACCTTGTACATTCTTTACATGGGAAGACACCCTGACTGCCTGTGCTTCGGGGCCTATCTACCGTATCCTTCTGGCTGCTGGCTGGATTGAAGGTGCTCTGTGCTGTTTTTTTGTAATTCCTGGGCTTTACATTGTTCTCCTGTTTAGGCGGGGGGCAGTGCCTTTTCTTTGGGCTGCACGCAATCTGCAAAGCATGAAATATTTGTGTTTTAATTGTTGTGTTTTACTTTATGAGCCAACTAATAGCAAATGCCCTCCGGGCAATGTATGGAAAGAAGCAATTAAAATCAGAGTTCCAATTTCTTCTTAAAATCAGTCAGTTTATACACGAACACATGGATTGCCCTCCAATCCTCACCACATCTAAAACAGACTAAGGACCAAGCAGGTGTTAAATGACTCCCTGGATTGCCTCTTGTGTGTTTGTTTGTTTAACATAAATAGCTGTACTGTACTCTGCTGCAGTCCTGCTCTTGAAGCACGGTATAGTTCAAGGGTAGGACTCCGCGCGGCCTCCATTCGGCTGAGGTTGATGAAAGCGAAAGAAGAAACAGGCGTGCATTAACAGAACACCTGCTTTGCCTCCAAAGTGTGGGACAGACAGGTGGATTCGTTTCCAGGTCAATCAACCCCAGTAATACACTGGATTTGCACTGAGACTGAAGGTTTTAGAAGACTAGACAAGTTTATCCTACGACAACTTAAATTACTTTATTGCGGGCAGGAACTTTTGGGGACAAGCATCTGTTTCAAGGAAGTGGAAAGAGAAAACTAATAAACAAGATCCTGCCGTGCCCCTCCCCAACCGGAGACACTATTTCATGGATTGTTAAGTTTCCTAAACCAGAGGAGGACAATCTTAAAATCTCTAAACGTCACTCAAAAGTCTATCTGCATCTTGCTCTACCTTTTCGTCATCCATTTCTATCTCATCACATTCTCTCCTGGACCTCTTTCCGACAAAGCGCCCTCGGCTGCCGTCAAATTTTAATATTTTTTTCCAGCTATAGTAATATTCAATGCACTGGGAAACAGTTTTAGTTTGTATCTATTAAAGGAGGAAGGGAAAGAAGAAGAGAAATTCAAAACAAATGTTCAAAGGAGAAATTGACATGATACCCAAACATGGGGCAGTAGCCTAACAATGCTGTTTCAAATCTGTGCTCCTGCCCGTAAAAACCAGTAGCTCCTACTTAGAGTCAATCTTTGGTCAATATTGGGCATGAAGCATTTTGGTATACCAAGGCCCCAGTCTAACCTGAATTGCTATAGTTGTCAGAGGGTTGTGCATATTTAAAAGAATGCATGGATTTTAAATGTAACAGGATTTTTAAAAAAAAGAATCAAAAAGTATTAAAAATAAGACCTATCGGATAACTTTCAGTTAAAATACATTGAAGGAAGTGAAAGCAAATCCAGTTTCTGCAAGGCAGTCTGTAAGACAGCCTATGCCTAATAAAGTTCTTACCTTTTTCTGTAGGAGGTAAAAGTCCTTTTTGTGTAAGCCAAAGGCCTTCTTAAATAGCTGCTTCTCAGCATCAGTCCACAGATGTGAACCTGGAGTGCCAACAAGAAACAGCTTATCAGTGCAGGCAATTTTAGTTAACGGATTGTCATTCTCACAAATATTAAAACCTTTATAGCCCCTTTTTTGCATGCCTGGAAAGTTTACTTAGTTAATACATTTCTTCATGTATTTGAACAGTCTTCGAAAACTTATTTTCTCTTGAACTAACATTTAAGATCCATTACAAAGGTCAGTAATATTGCACACAGCAACATCCTTCTCTGAACACTTGATGCACTTTCAGCTTCTCAATTATGCTTTGAAAATCACTCTAAAATTTTAAAAAAATTTACCTTTAAAACATTATTCCCTAGATTTATAAGTGGGCCTGTGATTTTTGAAACACATAATTATAAGATTTTAGCATTACAAATAGGACCACAGTATTGCTTCTAAGCCTGTGCCCCCGCGCCCGCATGCTGAAAAACACAGAAGTACAGAATGCTACTTATTGCATAGTCTCTTTCACTTTCTAGCCATCAGTTCCAGTAAATAAACCCTGAAAATACATATAAATTGGTATTTCTGCTTATTTTTTTAATTTAGAATTTTAAGTTAGGCTTAGCGGGTAAGTGAATCAGCAGGCACTGATCCCATGGATGGGTGTGTGTTTCCTACTGTACTCAATTAAATTTAAGGTGTAATTTCCCAGTTCTGGTTTCTGCCCTTAGATATATCTCACCACTACGAACGGCATCTTGCTAAGCTCCTGTTAGGCACAGAGAAGCCACAGATGCATTTGGCAATTTTTCTCTTACCTGAGTAATGGTAGTTTGCCAGAGGATGACCAGGAGGCTTCTCTGGTCCTTGGAGAAGCAGCATCTGCAGTGCTTCCTGGAATTGTTTTAGAGAAGACGGTCACAACTCTCTCCAAAGAGAAACAAATATGATAAACCGGGTGTACAGAGGATAACAATATCTACTGTTTACTGCATTACTGTTCCTGCATTTTTATTACATTAATTTTTTACCCGTGTGCACAAACCGGGTGTACAGAGGATAACAATATCTGTTGTTTACTGCATTACCGTTCCTGCATTTTTATTACTACATAATTTTTTTACCTGCGTGCACGTGTGTGTCTAGATAGATAGATAGATAGATAGATAGATAGATAGATAGATAGATAGATAGATAGATAGATAGATAGATAGATCGATAGATAGATAGATAGATAGATAGATATTTTTTCATTGTATTTTATGGTTTTAATAGACTGGGCACCACCAAAAACATACAGATAGATAGATAGAGAGATAGATAGAGAGATAGATAGAGAGATCGATCGATCGATCGATCGATCGATATTTTTTTTTCATTGTATTTTACGGTTTTAATAGACTGGGCACCACCGAAAACATTAGTTTTTTAAAAATGCGCTCAGTTGTTGTTACGTGCTTGCAAGGTGTGTCAATTAAAAAAAATTATTCACATTAATTGCAACTGGAGAGTGTCAGTATCACCATTTGGTGATATAATAAACCACCACCACCACTGCACTACCTTTGAACTGCAGAGCTAGAAGGGATCACCATTTGGTGATATAATAAACCACCACTGCACTACCTTTGAATTGCAGAGCTGGAAGGGACCCTATGGATCATCAAGTCCAGCCCTTGACAAGGAGGCCCAGTAGGGGAATCGAACTCCCAACCTCTGGCACCGCAGCCGGATGCCTAAAACCACTGATCTATCCAACAGTTCATAGAGGCAGTTCCTTTCCACAGAATTACAAGGGGAAAACTTTCCAAGAGCCTTGTGGCACAGTGGTTAAATTCCTGTATTGCAGCTAAAACTGTGCTCACAACCTGGGGTTCAATCCCAGGGAGCTGGCTCAAGGTTGACTCAGCCTTCCATCCTTCCGAGGTCAGTAAAATGAGTACCCAGCGCGCTGGGTGTGTGTGTAGCCTGCATAATTAACTTGTAAACCGCCCAGAGAGCGCTTGAGGTGCAATGGGGTGGTATATAAGCAGCACGCTTTGCTTTTGCTTTGCTGTCTAAATGCAAGCCATTACATTTCGTCGGAACGATGAAGCAGTAGGGTTGTGGTGGTCTGGTGTGTGCGACTGTACCGTAGGACCCCCACATCTGTGGTGGATCGGGGCCAAGCTGGTGTGAACTGGCCCAGCATGAATGGCCATCTCTGTCTGCTTTTATTGGCTGTGGCTCTTCAAGGTCTTAGGCACCCAGGATTTAATCTTTTTACAGTTGCCAGGAATTGATGCTGGAATCTTTTGCAAGCAAACGACACACGCTACCACATATATTACAAATCCTTCCAATAGTAATCAAACCAATTACACGGGTAAACTCTGTAGTCCCTCCAGTATATTATGTATAGGCCACAAGGCATCAACCCGATATTCTCTGTAATCAAACACAGGACAAAACTTAAGCCTTATTTGTGTACACTTTGTTTACTTCATCTTACCAAAACGTTTCCTTTGGCTTCGTGCAGACAATGCAGGGCGAGTTCTAGGTTGGTCCCTCCTCCTGGCATCGCACTGGAGCAGGCCAATTTTAACAAGTCTGTTACTGCAAGCAACATGTATATATTGATTGAAACACATGGACAAAGTTCTGTTGCAGAGGAATTCTTTAAATGCGACAATTTGGAAGGAGAGGAAGAAAAATGGTACTTGGGGATGGTTAGCTTTGTAAGGAAAAACAGTCAATGAAGCAAATACCTTTTTTTTGTGTTTCCTTGTTGGTTGCAATATCTCCCCATGGTTTCCACATTAGGGAGGCAGGGTGTTCATAATTCTCCAAGGATGACCTATCCTGGAGATCCGGTATATCTGCCTGAAAACGACTTCCAATGTTAATATGCCTGAAAGGACAGAAGAATAAATATGCACAATTAACATGCACAATTAGCAGATGAACCAACCGGGTCTGGTGACATCTTTAAGACTTAGTAACAGCATGAGTTTTATAGCATGAGATTTTTGGATACAGAGCTGCCTTTCGCCGATAAAAAGTGATGCAAAGTTTACTGCATCAAATTTGGAAAGAGTCTAAGTTCTGAATTTTATTTCTAAGCAAAGAATATTCCAAGAGCCTAAAATGAATGCAAACACACGTGCCCCCATCTCTGCCAGCCAGCCACTCCAGGGCAGTGTTGCAGTAATCCCTGCACCACCTCCTCACCCGAGGGGGCGGCTGACCAAGGAGACCGAAGAGGACGCTGCAAAAGACGAGCGGGTCGTCGCACTGGGGAGGCAGGGAGGGGAGCGTGCACCGCCCGAGGGATGGGCGAGCATGCAGGGGAGGGGAGGCGACAGGGGAGGGCGCTGTGTCAGCACAACACCTGTGCGCGTGCGCCAAAAAATTGGGCCGAACCTCTGAACTGAGGTTCGTGCCCACCTCTGGTCCCCGTTATTGTCTCATTGGCCTTAAACTGAGTTTACATCCAGCCGTCTCGGATGCCTGAGGGTGGGACCTGACCATCTAGCAGGACCTACAGAAAATTTGCTTTGCAAGAGACTTATCATGCTATAGATTTACGTTGTTAGAACCTACTTTTAACCAATGCGTCACTGTCTTGTTAAGCGTACCCAAGCAGACGGACTACTTGGCCTCCAGCCTCATCTGCTCTTGTGCTCCCTCCTCCAATTTTTGCTCCTAAGGGTCAGGAGTTATTCGTCCCACCCACCCGCCTGCCTTGAATCCAAAACCTGCTGCTTGATCCAGTAAAGCCTTCCCTGATACAGCCTTATTTATTTATATGCTTTGGACAACTGTTTATCAATCCATTTGTCAATGAACTCCATCCTACCCCCGCCAAACAAAAAGCCCCTCTTGAGAAGAAATCTTGACAGCATCATAATCTCTACAGCCTTTTTGCACGGTTCAGCCCATATACTTGTGTATGCACTATATGCGATGTGACAATCCAAGATTCACTTGGTCCTTACTGCCGCAGAAGAGAACAGCTTGCTCTTCCAGGCAGGAGCTGCTTGGGGGTCTGGCTGAAGGTCTTCTGCAACATCCTGACTTAGGACAAGGGCCCCACAGGCTACTGTATCAGGAGTGAGGCTATGAAACAGCTCCAAAATTTGAGGCTAATTTAAACAAAAGCAAGGGGAAGTTATGATGCTAACTGCTCCCCCCCCCCAATTTACAAGGACGTTAATCATTGCACATAGAAAAAAAAGGGGGGGTGAAGAGCACTAAATAAAATGTGGTGAAAACATTTTTCCCCAGTCCTATGAAGTTGCAAGGAAGGGTTTAAAGATTTCATAATTTGCTCGACCCCTTTGTTTGAGACGCTTCCCTAGCTTCACAAATAATTGCCTCTTGGAATGTTAGCCAACTCTGGGCAATTTGGATGATAAGAAGCATGGAAAGATGTTTCTCAGACCCCTGGCTTTAAGGTCGTTTTGAACAACCTCTCAGTCAGAAAACAGTTCAGCATTCTAAAGCCCTTTAGCGGCAGCTCCAGATTCAAACCGGACCCTTCGCGACAGCAAGAGCAATGGCAAAGCTTTCATTCCAGAAGAAACCCTGGCCAGTGGCGTTAGAAGACCCGCTTTGCACTTAAGCCAGAAATTAACTCCCTCTTCTCAAAGACTTAAGGACACTGCTGGGCCTGCTCTTAAAAGCAGGCAGAGGAGCAGGATTTAAAATGCCTCCAAGATTTGCAACCATGCACTGCATTAAATACACTGGAAATACAGAAGGGTTAATTATGCCTTTGCCTAGTAGACACAACTGAGCCAATAATGCACAGGGGCAGCAACGGACTTCTGCATTCTGACCGCCTTCTATGTTCAAAATATGCTACTGATTCATTAATAGAAATTCTGCTTCAAAAAAACGCATTAAAAATTAACCAAACACAGAAAGAGCACAATGCGATATTAGAAATTATATAATTATATCCTTTTCTTTCTACATCACCAAAAGTTACCAACCTGTTTACAAAAACAAAACAAAAAAAACCCCACAATGACATTGTTACGGTTATTGCAACCGCACAGATGATCTACTATCATTATTGGTTTTTTAACTTCTGTTTCTTTCTTCTTTTTTGATATACAAGATGAAAAGGAGGGAGTAAAGTATACATCTGTATTTGCTTGCAAGTTATATCATCTGCTCACTTACGGTTTCACGCTGAATTTGGTGGTGTCTTTCACGAGAGAGAACAAAAGGGCCCCATCCGTTCCACCTAAATAGGAAAACGGAAGAAACAGAAAAGAACATCTCCGGGCTCTTCCTTATGACCTCCTGCTGGCCATTCCCCCCAGGTGATGAGTAATGACAGAACGGTAGCCAAAACCAGCACAACGAGCAACAAGGTATAATCATACTCAGGAAACCCCAGAAGAAGCAAAAAGTACGATCTTATCGTTTAAATGCAACAGCCCCATGCCTCCAAAACACCTCAAGGAGGACTGAGGTGGAATAGAGAGTGACCATGGGGAAAGGGCTGAAAAAAACCCAAGAGGGGCAGACAGAAATGCCTTTCTCAGAAGCCGTGGTTGGCTGGAGCCCCGAACCAGGGAAAAGACACTGCAACATTTTGCTGCAGGCCCCACTTGCTAAACCAAGCACTTGACTAAGTGAGAGTTCAGGGGAAACCCCTTTCGAGACATCCCAGAAAGGTTATGTGCAAGGTTTTTTATTTTATTTTATTTTGGGTGGGGAAGCCTGAACAGCTTCCCTCAAATAGACCACCTACTTTCTATAGATTTTTTCAAACTGTTGTGCTGATTTTGGCTCACGAGAGCAAACTGAAGAACAGACAGAGGTTCCTTTTGCATATTAACACAAATACACGTGCTGAATGCAGAAGATCTTGAATGTGTTCTTTTATAAAATACAGAATGCTTGGATAGCAAGGCAGGAAAGAGTCCAGCCTCCAGTAAACTTTGGAGAGCTGTTTCCGGTCAAGCCGGACGGTAGGAAACAAAATGGACGTGTGTGACCTGCCTCAATACAGAGCAGCTTGATATACCTGCAACCATCAAAGAACGTTTATTTTAACTACCTAAAACAGAAGTGTACATCTTGCTAGAAGCAGTCTTTGTAGATGTAGAGCAGAGAGCGTTGAAATACAGCCCTGATCCCTCACGAATGGGGCTAAGCATTGGTGGAGGTGTGTAAGAGGAACACTGAACTAAGCCCTGGAGGAGGTAATCCATGAGGAAGACCGGAGAGCGCAGGTTACTTTGAAAACATCCTCCCGTCCCGGGTTGTATCTCATTGCAAGCTGGTGCTGGAGGCGGGATGAAAAGCGATTTTGGACAAGTACGTCTCCTCTTTTTCTTTGGTGGCATGCCTTCCTGGAGATCTTGATCATCCTGGCTTGCTTTCTTATCAATCTGAGAAGACACAATTGGTAGGATTCTTAAATTGCTAACCGGGGGCGGGGGAAGGGGAAGCACAAGTAGGACCTGTATAATACTGGACCCTTAAGTATTCAGCACTGAAAACCGGACAACCTAAGACACCACCCAGAATCAAAAGCCAGAATCCTATTGTGCTACATCTAACAGCAACCACACAAGCAGCAGAAGGCACTGAGATGGCTGGCTGTCACACACCCACTTGTCCTCCAGCTGCACGCACATCAACAGCATGGGCAGGCAGGGACTTGTGCTGTTATGTAATATGTGCAGGACATGTAATAATGGGCTCAAGCGACAGGAAGCCAGATTTAGGCTAAATATAAAAAAAAACACACACATCTCAATTGTTAAGAGCAGCCAGATTTAGGCTGAATATCAAAAAAACACACACACATCTCAACTGTTAAGAGTAATACGACAATGGAACCTACGCCCCTGGGAGGTGGTGAGTGCTCCAAAGCTGGAGGCATTGAAGAGAAAATCAGGCAGCCCTCTGTCGGATCTGTTTTGATTTGGATCCCTGCCTTGAGCAAGGGGGGAGTGGGCTCGATGGCCTTAGAGGCCCCCTCCCAACACAATAATTCAGAATGCAGAAGTCCGTCCTGACTCCCTCTCCGGTGGCAGAGGTGGCCCCCACCTGCAAGATTATTGCCAGGCTGGTGGGGAAAGAAGTTGCCTATGCAAATAGAGAATTGCTCAGTACGGATGGCATCTGTAGGGTTGCCCTGTGCCTTCCTGGGCCACAATGAGGGGAACGGCCAGCCAATTTCTTTGCAGCAAGGGCTGAAGGATACTCATCTCAGACATCTGAGGGCAATTTTCTTTTGTGTCTTTTGACACCTTCCTAGAAACCGAGAGCTAAGAAGTCAAATCACTACCCACTTTGCCATCTTGCTGCTGCTCGGTAGCCGTTACAGGTACGGAGACAGGAATCACGAGAGGTGCTACGGCTACATCTTCTGATAACGTTTTGGCTTCAGGACTATCTCCATCCCCTGCGGGCTCGAGCGACAGTTTCTGAGGGTGTAAATTCTCATCCTCGCATGCCTCAAAAGGAAAGGCAAAAATAAATATGCATTCTAATAATGAGGACTCAAAATCCTGTGGGGTTTTTTTTGTCCTAAATCGTAAATTTAAGAAAACTGTTAGTCATTACCCAAACAATATGCGTAAAATATTTTGGTTTTAAAGCAGCAGAAAGACAATAATCATGAGCCACCAGATCGAGGCCTTTTATGATGACTCTTGAAGACATGGCAGCAGGATTAGCCCCGCTAACGGAACACCTATCATCTTTAATATTATAGATGCTATGTTGTGTTCATACTGTTATAGCTGGCTCAGACACCCTCGGGTGGAAGGATGAAGTAAATAAAAATAAAATAAAATAGAAAACAACAATGATTCCAAATATGGGATGGAGATAATTACAGCACAACTCTCTTCAAAGCATACGAAGCTATCTTGCCTCTCTGGATGATTTCCATCAGTGGTCATTTCATCTAACAGAAACATACACACACCAACGCATAAATGAAGTTAAGATTTTTTTTCTTTCTGGAAAGTTAATTGGAGAACCAGAGGAGCAATACGAACGGCAGACAACTATCCCTCCCTGCTAGGGTTTAAAGAAGGCAAAAGGACAAGATATTTAATTAAAGTTCGGCTGCCATGTAAACAGTTCATCTGAACCACCATCACAGCATCCTCCCTACCATTAGGCAGGGGTAAGACAGCTGCTTGAAGCAGCTCATTTGATGCTGAATGTCATCAAAGGAGAGAAAGCTATTAATTCATCATGATTACTGTTGCTGCATTTTTTTTAATCTCTGGGAAAGGAGAGAAGTGTTTCGACTCTTGAAGACATGGCAGCAGGATTAGCACCGCTAATGGAACACCCATCATCTTTAATATTATAGATGCTCTGTTGTGTTCATATTGTTATAGCTGCCTTGGACACCCTCGGGTGGAATGAAGTAAATAAAAAATTTTAAAAATAAAAAACAACAATGATTTCCAAATATGGGATGGAGATAGTAAGTACAGCACAACTCTCTGCAAAGTATTCTAAGCTGTCTTGCCTCTCTGGATGATTTAATTCATCACGATGACGGTTTCTGCATTTTTTAATCTCTGGGAAAGGAGAGAGGTGTTTGTAGGATTCTGTACCCCAAGAGCCAAAAACAAAAAAACAAAACTTGACGGTTCTTGCAAAACTGTACACCTTGACTACGGAGCGTTGGAAAGGGTGCCATGTCTGACAAAACATCTTGGACCAGACCTCCCCACTCTTTTTACTCCAGATCTACGTTACCCTATTATCTCAAGATCCTAAGATATATGGTTATTCTTTGCTAGGGTCAAGGTAAATGCCGAGGCACCTCTCCAGAGCAGTTTAACTGGTCCTAGAGACGTAAATGCCAAGGAAAGGTGAAACAGGTCCCAGAGACAAGGCTGGCATGGCCTTAGTCTTATGGAGCGAAAAATACGGTATCTCAACATCCTAAGGTATATGGTTATTTTTTGCTAGGGTCAAGGTAAATGCTGAGGCACCTCTTCAGAGCAGTTTAACTGGAAAGGTGAAATAGGTTCTAGAGACAAGGCTGGCATGGTCTCTTCAGCTTTTGAGCAGTTAAAAGGAAGCCAGCATCTGCACTGGCGGCTTAGGAGTTCAGCTGAAGGGACAGTGACTTGCTCAAGGATACCACACAGGACATCTGTACTGCAAGACTGAAGTTTCCCTTGCTGGAAGACAAACTTTTCATTTTCTACCAACGGTCCTGTGGTACTTTAGAAATTAAACATCTCTGTTTGGCTTACCATATTTTTCCGGGTATAACATGATACTTTTCACTAAAATCTTTAAACTAAAAATTTAGAGTCGTCTTATACACGGAAGTAAAGAGGGAAGGGATCAAAGCACTGCAGGATTGCAGCTCTTTGATCCTGCAGCCCTTTGATGGCTGCTTTCCCCCTCCACTTCCACAGCCCTTTGATCCTGCTTTCGTGGGGCTTAGGAAGTGGAGGGGGAAAGCAGCAAATTTTCTTATTTGGGGTTGGAAAAGTGGGGGTCGTCTTATACACAGAAAAATACAGTAATTTTCTGTGGAATGGAGCCCATCTTTCAACGCATGGCGAGTAGCTGTGATGGATCTTAGTCTCCTCCTCACGTTTGTGCAAGTGTCCATCTAACTCAGCTGCATTCTATGTATCTGAAGATGTAGGCTATTGTCCTACCACGCTTAAGCCAAATAAAATTTATTAGCTATTAAAATGCCACAGGATTCTTCCTTGTCCTCCCCCCCACAATAGGGATGAGGACTCCAGCAAGTTGTTGTCAAGTCGGTCCTAAGTCTTACCAGTGACTCGACTAAAACCTGACTGTTCCCCCCCCCAAATTACTTGGACTTGACCTGGAGCCCACCCACTCCTTTTTTTCTGGGGGGAAAAGCTTGTTTTTAATAGGGACTTGGCACCAAAGGCTTGGATTCGAGACTCAGACCCAAAGACTCGCTAATATCCCTGCAGACTGACATGGCTACAAACTGTTCTCTTCATTTTATTACCCTTGCCCTTAAAGTATTAAGCGTTACACCAATTATCAGAAGTAGTAGCCTGGTTTCTCTTTTACCTGCTGCTTTTCCTTCCCTGACGCCGACTGCCACTGCTCACTACAGAAACACATATGGCTGCTTAGGCCCCTCTCCGTATAAAAAAGCTGACTGCAGGTCGCACATATAAAGCTGCTTCCATGCTCATTTCTGTCTTCAGGACCTCCCCCAGTCTTACTACTGATAGCAGAAATTGGAATTAAAGGAAAGCATGAGATGACATTTTGAAGCCAGAACATCCTGTTTTGTAATTTAGACTCAGAACCATGGAATACATAACATTTATGTCCCCTGCTTTAGGGTTTGTTTCATACCTGCCTGGAAATGAATTTCGGAATTTCATTTACCTGCAAATTGTATTCAACTGAAAGAGAAAAGTACCCCAAGGTACTGTTTACAAGCAAATGCTGTTGGAGAGGTAACACGGAGGAGCTGAAGAATGGCTCAGGGGTATACACCAGCCCCATCAAATGGCTGCATTTGTTTTCCTTGAACAGCCTGGATTCTTGTGCCCTACCAACAACCACTACTGAAACCCCCTCCTCAGAAGTGTTTGTTTATCTGCCTGCCAAGTTCTCACACACCAGTTTTTGTAATACGAGAAGTTTTGCTCCCTAACTAGCTGTACGGTTTCCCCCAATGTCTTTTCCTAAGCCATCTCTTGAGAAACCCACACCTGCCTTAACAAAAAGGTGGGAAAAAGAAAATCTGGGCCCAAAATTTAGCTGTTGCCTGCTGCTCGTTCTCTCTGATGCCTGGAGTAGGTGGGCTGAAGCTCTTCTGGAGCCAAGACATGTGGCCTCAAAAAAATTCCTAGACACTGGAAAAGGAATTCAAGGAAGACTTTAGGAAACAGACGTTTCTGCTTTTTAGGTACACTCAGAAATGACTTTAATATTTTCAGTTCTATACAGCCTCATGTTAATAAAAGCACCAGTTGCCTTCGGGGTTGGTGAGCGCTCCAACACTGGAGGCATTCAAGAAAAACTTAGATAATCACCTGGCAGATATGCTTTGACTGTATTTCTGCGTTGAGCAGGGGGTTGGACTTGATGGCCTTGTAGGCCCCTTCCAACTTCACTATTCTATGATTCTACAATTATATCCGCACGCCTATAGATATAATACTCTTATGCTTAAATAAATGTGCTGGTAATATGATTTTTTTAAAAATAAGATAAATTATAGCAGTTATAGTTGCTAGTCCCCTATGTTAGAGGACCTAAAAAACCCCCACTACCTATTTGAGACTGAGATGCTATTTCAGTCACCTTTCTTTTTCAATTGTACCAGAGACATGCTAGAGGATGCAAAGTCCTATAAAAGTAAAATAATCTATGTTTGATTCCACTGTACCGCAGCTATTATCTTCATATTTGTTCTAAAGAACATGGCAATATGCAAACAGTGCAATTATTTTTAATGCACCAGCCTTCAGCTGGTAAGCACAACACTTTGGACCAACTAAATGAACATAGAACATGAGCGGCGTGCACAGCTCTGACTTCCACTGTTTAAGATGCAAATAAGTGCCTAACAATCATCTTAGAGACGGCACAGCTGGGGAATCAAACCCCCATCCTCTGGCTCTGCCGTTTGATACCTAAACCCACTGAGCTATCCAGGAATCCAGTAACAAAAATATTAAAACTTTAAGGCACTGTCAAAACATCACTTTGAGCTGCTTACCATACAGAGGAAAAATTTTCTTCCCTCATTGAACTAGTGAAGCTGTAGATATTTCCACCCTGTATTTTAGAAGAAAAGTTAAAAATGCTTAAGTTTTTTAAGCTGAAAAACACACTTTTCGTCTCCAATTACCTTAAGAAGTTTAACATTCTTCGGAAGCCCTTGCAGATCTTCACAAAGGGCACTGAACATTAGCCTTTGCTGATGGCTATCAGGCAGAGGGGCTCCTGCCACTAGTAAATTACTGCTCTTCTGCTCCAAGTCAAAAGTGGAACTACAATTACACTTCCTTCACTAAAACGGATATTGCACTTTTTAAATGAACAAGATTCTGGTTTCTTTTAACGGTCCTGACTATTATTTCTGTTTATTAACAACCAAATTTTGTTCCCTCTCTCCCGTACATTATAAACTCATGGGGGAAAAAACACATTGTGATCTATCTACTAACAGTCTCTAAGAAATATTCGTGTGCTGAGCCTACATTGCTGCACACAGTTCTCAATGAGGGAGATTGTGATGGGACTAGAGATGGGGAGGCCTGGGGGGCAAACCAGAAAAATTGGGGGAGAAACAAGATTATTTCTGTTTTTTTCCCCCATGGTGGTTTTTGGGGTTTTTTTCTCAGAAAAATGGAAAAATGGAGTGTGAAATATGTTGTTTTGCAATTATAAATAATATGTCTATGACATGGGATTCGAACTGTATAACATGGGATTCGAACTGTATAACATCAATGAAAGACTTCTGAGACTTTATGTATTTAAGTTCTCCCAACCACAGATGACCCATTGAATCTGCTGCTGAATGGGGAGTCAATAAATGTAAATCCCATTGATTCAACAGGTTTACTCTAGTTGGAACGATTTGGATTAAGACTGGTGCCTTTTTCCTAAAATGCACATTTTTTTTCATCAACGTAGGCAAAAAATACAATTTGAACATGCCTGAATTCGGTTGAAAATGGACAGCTTTGGCTTCATTCTGGCCTCACTATCAAAGGAGGTATGAGGCAAGGAAAAGGATGCCATGGCCACTTGACTGGGAGAAGCCACAGAAGAGACGTCAAACGTGGGCTTCTCCTTCCGGCGGGGTCTACCGCTGCGAGAATGACCTTTGCCACCCGATTCTTTTGCAGTTGTCTTATTTTTCTGTTTCTTTCTCGACTCGGGACAGCCACTCTCTGACTGCTTCAGCTTCCCATAAGTGTGGTTTCCTGGGGCATTTTCATATACTGAAGACTGGCTAGGACTGGAGAAGTCTTCGAACCCCAGGCAACCTGCTTTCAAGGTCCTGGTGGGCTTTGCATGAGAAACACCGTCAGTGCTTACAGATGGAAAGGATGGCAAGGGCTGCAGAGAAGTCGCCAGCTGCGGCCCTTCCTGCTTGATGCAAGATGGGACATCGGGGTGAAATTGAGTCGAGGGCTTCTTGATGCATCCTTCGCTTTCTGCAGATTCCAGACTGGGGTGCACCAAATCCGTCTGTCCTGGAAATGCGCCCTGAAGGGGTTTCGTCGTTACGAGCTGATGAGACGGACCCAACAGCTGGGCGTGAGACACAATGTGCTGAGATTTTGTAATTCTCTGGAACAGGTGGCTATGGACTTGCACCTGCCCCTGATTCACAGAGGATTCCTGGGGTTTCGTAAAGAGCTGCCGGAAAAGTGGTCCGGCCTCACCCTTCTGCAACACTCCGTGCTCTGTATCATCTGGGAGCCTTGTCGCCAGGCCACTGACTTTTGGCTCTCCTGAGATTTCTCCTTGCGTCTTCCCAAGCGCTGGAGCAAACGATAAAACCTCTGAGCGCTCCAAGCTATGTGCCAAAGGGTCAAAAGCAGCAGGGGAGGGTCCCGCCAGCCCTTGGGAGACATCTTGACGTGAAGCCCGTGACACCTTAGCAACGTAGACTCCACTCCCTGTGCTTTGGGTGTAGGCTGGGGGCACATTTCTAACCCATGGGAAGTTGCCGTCGGACTGCTGAGAGGTGGCAGGAAGCTTCTGGGGTTGAAAAAAAGGGAGGTGAGGGACGGCACTGTTCGGCCAATACTCCAAGGCTGGGTTTTCTAAAGGGAATTGAGGTGGCGGATGGGTCTGTCTCTCTGGCAAACTGGTCACATTTTCCGCTGGCCCGAGGACAGCTAACTTCCCAGGATTGATGATGGTATATACGCTGGAAGACCCTGGGTGCTTTTGACAAGGGTAGAGCTCCTTCACTTTTTTACTGCCCTCGGCGTCTATAAGGGCAGCAGTACTGGTGGGAACACAAGGAACTTGGCCACAGGCAGAGGTGCAAGGTTGCAAGGATCCCCCGGAGTCTGTTTCGCTCTGTCCCACAGAGGACGAAGCAGCAGACGGAAGCTTCTGGCCAAGTAAGGTACTCACAATGCACCTCAGCAGGTCTCTGTTGGGTGGGAGGGCATTGTTAGGGGCCAGAGGGTCTGGGTGAACGGCCAATCTCTCTGTTGTTGTTCTTCTGCCACCGGGTCCCATCTGGACACGCGGTTCATGTTGAGAAGGGGAGCCTTCGCAAGCTTCGTCCTCCTTTACCGATCTCAATCCGTGGTGCATTTCGTAATGCCGACGCAGGGACCGATGGTCCGAGTAACTCTTGCTGCATCCTTGTTCAATACAAATGAATGGCTTTGTTTTTTGATGGGTTAGCATGTGGCCACTCCTGAAGTTTAAAAGAAGACATAGTTAGAAATAGGCGAAAGAAAGGCAAGTACTGAAGCAAAACCAAACAGAAGAAAAAACAAAGAGAATTTCTCTCAGCGTGCCCATTTATTATTCAACAATGCCCAGAACGCTGTTGAATACTAAAATGTAGCTACTTTGAAAAATATGTTTTCTGTCTCTTAGCTTTGGTCCTTAAAAACCATGAAAAGAGAGATGAGATGGCTAAACTTAAGAACAACCTCTTTAAAAAACTATAAAGCTGCAGACAATTTTGAATTTTCAGAAATTAAGGTAAAGCGAAGACCAGAGAAGACAATCCGTGCATGCAATGAATAAGGTAAAGGTTCCCCTTGACATTAGGTCCAGCAGTGTCCGACTCTAGGGGGTGGTGCTCATCCCCGTTTCCAAGCCGTAGAGCCAGCATTTTGTCCGAAGACAGTTTCCGTGGTCACGTGGCCAGCGCGACTAGACACGGAACGCTGTGACCTTCCCACCATGGTGGTCCCTATTTATCTACTTACATGCTTTCAAACTAGCCATTAAATTCTCTTCTATCTTGACTGTCACAGTTCTGACACACTTGCAGAAGCCAGGAAAGCTGAAGTTTATACATGGGCTCTGTATGAGGTTGGGAGGGGGGCACAGCTTTCAGAGGAGTTAAGCCTATTGACTCAGAGGTTGCTACTGAGCATCCATACCTCCGTACAGACCCTCCATGCAGAGTCACCACATAGATGAGAGTATTGCAATGGCCTAGGCAGTAAATTGAGTAAAAGCATCCTAGGTACTAAACGGATCTACTCAACCCACTTCATTGTCTCTGCATCTCTTCATCCGTCAACACTGTAAGCATTTCGTTCTGGTAACAGTACACCTCTACTAACTCTGGCATCTATTCTTGACTTCATTTAGCTGATGATACTGCATCACATAAGACTGCAGCTGAGAGCTCATATAACCAACTGCTTCTCGTACATAAAGTAATCCCTCCATATATAAAACATGATGTCACAGGGGAGGGTTTGACCCCCATCATTTTCCTGGTGTTGCTCTTTTTTAATCTCGAATTTGTTTTACTGGCCTAAATTCAATTGCTGGTCTCAGCTAGCATGGAACCATAAAATCAAGGTCTGATCAAGCTTACATAAATCCCACTGATTCAATGGGGCTACTCTAGTTAAGTTTATTATTTATTACGTGCTGTGATCTCTGACCTATGGAAATGGCTCCTGGGATTTTCAAGGTTTTAAGTACTGGGAAGCAGTTTAAAAGTCCGTCCTGCCCAAGTGTTCTGGGACCATGAACCATGTCCGAGGCCCCACATAGATGGCAGGGCATGTAACGTCATTAGCCTCACATGTGTGAGTTATCTCCCCCGGCCTATATCTATCTTAGGCAGCACAATGAGGACGCAAATCCTCTGTTACTGGCTCCTCAGCCAGCTGCCTCAACCCACTGAGATAGAGCAGCTCTTAATTGTTTGTAGCACTGTTCCATCACATTAGCATTTCCCTTCCATCTGCCATGACGCAGTCCAGGAACAAGGTGATCATTCTCAAGAACACCTAAGGCCATGCCTTCAGCTGCAAGTGTCTAATTTTGAAGGTCGTATTTTCCTCTGAACAAGAGAAATGTGGTTACTGGAAAACAGAGGGGACTGTGGATCAAGGGAAATGTTATCTTGCTCTCAGGTAAGAGTTCAGAAACTTCCCATAGAGCCCAGATCTTTTCAATCAGATGCTTTTCCTACGCCATCACCAAACCTGTATCTCATCACACCCAACTGCCCCCCCAACATCTCACTACATCACAAAACCACTTCAGAAAAGTGATCTCAAAACTAAACACTGTTTTATTGCTAGAATCCCACATGGACTATTGTTTTCTGAACACAACATGGTTATTTATCACATTACTTATTATTCTCCTGCCCATCTAGACTCCCAAAGTGATGAACAATAAAATGAAATAAAAACCACAGTATGATGGAATTACGCATTATGCCTGTATCAGAATCAATATAACTGGCAGTTTTCTCACTTTTTTTAAAACTGAGAGGCAGATTATGGCACACTTTACTAAAGAAAGTACAGTGGTGCCTCGCTTAACGACGATAATCCATTCCAGGAAATCGCTGTTAAGCGAAAACATCGTAAAACGAAATTAAAAACCCCACTGAAACACATTGAAACCCGTTCAATGCATTCCAATGGGGTAAAAACTAACCGTCCAGCGAAGATCCTCCATACGGCGGCCATTTTCGCTGCCTGTATAGCGAGGAATCTGTCCCTAAACACAGCGGGGAGCCATTTTAAGCACCCGGCGGCCATTTTGAAAACCCGCTGATCAGCTGTTTTTGATAGTCGTAAAGCGAAAATCAGTTCCCGAAGCAGGGAACCGATCATCGCTAAGCGAAATTCCCCCATTTAGGCCATCATTTTGTGATCGCAACTGCGATTGCAAAAAGATTGTCGTACAGCGATTTTGTCGTAATGCGGGGCAATTGTTAAGCGAGGCACCAATGTAACGCTGTGCGTTTACTGCCAGGTACAAAGCAACTTTAAACAGGCCAAATTTTTACCGGAGCAGCAACTAGATTATACATTTGAGACACAGGCAAACGGATACCTACAAGTGGTCCTGTCGCTTAAAGGCTTTGCTGCAGATCTTGCAGACATGTTTCCGTTCCTGGCTGTGAGTCACATAATGTTTGCTGAGAGAGCTGGTGCTGCTGAAAACCTTCCCACAGAGGCTACAATCGAGAAAAGGCGCTTGAGGGCAGCTCTGGTGGGACTTTCCTTTCTTTCCGCTGCCAGAGTTGGATCGGCCTCCTTGCTCCGATCCTTTGGGCGCTGGAGGGGCAGGAAGCCCCAATTCTGAAACAGCAAAGAGAACTTTATTGACGTTCTACCTTCAATCACAGCATGGCCTAGGCAATCTCTGGTTCAAATCTCGTTTCAGCCAGTGTTTGGTAGAATTACTTTCGGCAACCACAACTTTTACAAACTCTCAGCTAGCATGCCTAGCAGCGGTATCAGTGGGTGTGACAAAATATTTTTTTAAGAATGCAAACTCTGTACTAACCATGAGCTCCATAGCAGCATTAAGCAAGCCCGACTAAACTCTTCTGCAATATGTAGGCAACAGCACTGGCTTATCTTAGAATACTAATGTATATAATAATAATAATTAATCGATCAATCGACAATCTAAGCCCAAATTCTTCAAGATGCACACTGCCTGATTGCTCCAACTTGGCTTCTCCTGTAACAACTCGCGAGGTGGCTGGTGAGCTCTGTGGTTTTGGCCTCAGGCTGCAGAGATTGGGAGTTCGATTCCCACACTGGACTCTCTACTCACCAGGTAAGAGAGGTTGCGAGGCTGCTTCACAGTCCTCCAGGAGTTTAGCAGAATCGCAGTCCTTCACAGAATACAGAGACAAGTTGTCCAGGTTGTCCTCCAAAGAGTCATTATTCATATTTGTGGTGGAAAGGCTAGGGTCCACATCCACGTTGCTCAACCCGGAATAAATCACCTCTCTCGTCGTGGGACACAAATCGTGGCTGAAGGCATCACTACAGTCTATCGCCTGGTTCCCTGAAAACTCATGAAGCGGCATTTCGGAATGGAGGGAGCATTCGTTGCTGAGGTGGAACTGGTCCATCCTTCAACCACCTTCTGTATTTCTAAATTGAGTCTAAATTTCCTGAGCAAATGAATAAGAAGGAAATGGGAGACAGGAGAGAGTCCTAGAATGAGGCACAGAAATTGAGCAGCCATCCTAAAGTCAGTATGATAACATTGCTCATATACGGTGAATACCCTGTACTTCAACCGGAAACAGGATACGGTCAGTTTATAAACATGAAAACCACCCAAGCAATCACATCTATTAGGCTATTAAACCATTATATCAGCTAATGAGACCAATCAACTCCGATTTAGCATATACATATTTAATGTAAGGCATCATGCTCTTATTAGTGGATTTACCACCTGAAGATTCAGCTGTGTAATTGCTCAATGTTCATTTTTAATTGACTTTGGCAAACAATCTGTAGGAAGGGAAGATTTAAGAGCAAAAGGGGGGGGGATGCCAAAAAAAAAAAAAAAACCCACCACTGAGAAATATGGGACAGTTGCAGGTTTATGGCTTGGGGGGGGGTAGAATGTTAGGTTATGACAACTGCAAGGCTCATCTGGAAGCACACGTTTGACTTTTTCCAGGGTTAAAACATAGTACTGGGAATTACAGGACTAAATGCTCAGAAGATTCAATTCAGGTTAAGTCCCGGCTACTAGTAGAGTATAAAAAACTAAATTGTAGATTACAATATCTACAGTCTGCAGGTATTGTCAAATTAATCCTCGCATAATAATTTTAAAATTCAAAAATTCTTGTGCACTTGACAGTTACCTTTCTTATTTTAGATTAGCATATGTCAGCATATACTTTCTATAGCCCTCAAAACTGGATGAACCCAAATCCATTCTAATTTCTGTGCTGTGATGTGTAATCTTATGAGTTCTAAGTTATTAATCCTGGTTTTCTACTACTTTTACCTTAATCCTGAACCTCTCTCCCAAGTAACTAATAAAAAAATATTTGACCACTTTATTCCGAATAATTCTGTATCCAGTAGGAAAAGTAAGAAATTGCAAAAAAGTATGTTCCTTTTCAGACAGATTTTAATTTTCTGTTCACAGAGATTTCAGACAACTGGCTATAGTTTAAAATGCACCCAAGTTCTGCTTAAGGAGGCTACATTGCACTATTTTATATGCTTTACCCTGTTTCCCTGAAAATAAGATCAAGTATGATTTTTCAGGGTGCTCGTAATATAAGCCCTACCCCAAAAATAAGCCTAGTTAAGTGAAACCCTGCCCTCTATCATTGCACAGCAACCAGAAGATGACATGACTATAAAATAAATCCCCTGAAAATAAGTCCTGATACGTTTTTGGAGCAAAAATTAATACAGTATACGACCCTGCTCTTATTTTCGGAGAAACACAGTAGTGATACTGTTTTTTTGTTTGTTTGAAGAAAAGGATAACAAAGCTAAACTAATGAAGAAAACTATTCAATAAAAAAATTGAGATTCTTTTTTCCCTCAAACTCCCAGTGTTACAAACATTAACAGTTTCCGCAAGGGGGAAAACAATAATCAAGTCTCCACAGTAAATCAAAATGTGCAAACTTTAGTGACAAATTGAAGCTAACAGGTGTTATTTGCATTGTACAAATGTATTCTAGACAAATATTTTCAAAGAAATGTACCTTTATGTGAATACTTAACCCCACCCACAGCTTCAACAAAACTATAATTACACTGAATTCTGCAAACCTAAGAGACTGTCAGTTTTATACAAAAATATACATGGAGATTCACAAAAGCAATGGAAAGCAAAGATCACAATTAACTCCTTGTTTTACCAAACCTTGGTAAAGGCCAAGTATCTGTTTATAGGTTTCCTTGCCAACAATAAAGCAAATAAAGCACTTATTATGTCCTCATGGAGATAGTGGGAAGAGATGCAATTCTAAACCTTACAGTCCAGTACCCTCTGGAAAGAACATAATCTAAGGATAAAAACCATAAACAGAATTTTAACCCACTTTGATACAGAGCAGCTGCGTTTAGTATTTAACCTAGCACAATTACTTAATTTTATTTGATCATAAGGGGGAAATTTATTTATTGCTCTAATACTGAAGGGCATACATATCCTAATTAAACTAAATATTACTTTTATCATAAGTCTACTAAATTAAATCAATGCTAAAGTATTCAACCTAAGAAAATTTATTTTTGCACTTATTTTAAGTTATAAAGATTAGTGTTTGGAAGCAAACACAAAAATCAATTTTAACTGGTTCACCACCCAATTACAGCAAGTGTCTGATCAATTATATGTTTGTTTATTTATTTATTTATTTATTGGATTTTTACCCCGCCCTCTAGACCATGTCTACTCTAGACCATTGGCTGCAAGATCCTTCGAACACCTATCACATTTAGATGTTCTGAACTATTTTATTTCCAATACAGCTGGAATCCTGATATAAAGAAAACAAAACTTTTAAGTAAAATATTAGCAGGAGGAATGCTGTGACTATTAAAACCACACCAAGACACAAGGGAACAAATTGCGCAGGTAGAACAAGATGGAAAGCACAGCTCAGAATAGCCACACTCTTGGAAATGTATTTTTACCCCTCTTCAAATATCCTTTAAACAAATAATAACAGGATTAATCAGGTATGTACACATACTTTTAAAAGCTGAGCTACTTTAGATTTTTAGCTAGCCTGATCTAGTCCTCTGGTGGGCCTCTGCTTGACTGGAATTTAAAGATTTGACTCTATAATCCCACCCAACATTTTAAAATTAATTTTCCAACTGTGCCCAGATTCCCTTCTCTCTGCAGATGAAAACTAAGCCCAGCGGGAAGAACTGGAGATTTTCTCCATCATCCCTTAAGAGCTCAAACTTTGGGGCCAGGAGGGTGAAAAGAAAAAAAGACCTGTTCCAGTCCCATTAAACACCTCATGACTTTCTTATCAACCGACCACCATCTCTATGTATTTGATCTCTGTATTTTGATGCCATTACAAACGAGGGGCACCCACATCATACGAAGTCTAGGATTGCAAAACCCCGTCAAAATTTTGCAATCGCCCCAAACTCTTTTCTGAGTGGGTGGGTATTCTTCTTCCAGCAATTACACAAATATTAAGTGGGGGAGGGGGGGGAAAGGAACTGCCATTTGCACAAGGCCCCAGTCCTCATGATCTGAAATGAACAGTTTGAAATCAACAGTTACACCACCCCCACACCACCCTAACCTGGTCAGAAGAGAGCCTTCGAGCTGGGTGGGCACAGCTGGGCTGCCTCCCCCCCCACCAAAAAACAAAAACGTTTGAGGGAGGCTTTTGGTTACTCCTATAAAAGAGAGGATGATGGGGGTTTGATGCCAGATCTGATCTGACCAAAATAAGGTCCAGAGGCTAAAGGTGGGTCTTTATTATTCTTTTTCCCCCCCTGGCCAAATAGGCAAGGGGGGAGCCCATGGACTGCTTCCTGTCTTGTCAATTTGAAAGCTGCTCCCCCCCCAAAAAAAAAGAGGGGGGCTGCCTGAAGCCCAATATGGAAGGGGGAAATTAAGACAGATAAGGGCGGGGCGGTTGCACCAGGGGAGGAGCCACCACCACCCCCTTTCTAAAGAGAGGGGAGCGAGGCAGAGAAAGCAGCGCGCGAGCGAGCGAGCCACCCGCAGCCTCGCCGCCA